CAAGTTTTGCAAAAGGTCAACTTAATAAACTACCTAACCCAGACGGTTCTATATAATCAAGTCTGTAAACTACCTAACCCAGTCACGGTTCTACATAACTAAGTCTGTAAACTACCTAACCCAGTCACGGTTCAACCTAACCAAGTCTCTAAACAACCTAACCCAGTCACGGTTCAACATAACTAAGTCCATAAACTACCTAACCCAGTCATGGTTCAACATCACCAAGTCTCAAAACACCTAAACCAGTCACGGTTCTACATCACCAAGTCTTAAACTACCTAAACCAGTCAAGGTTCTAAAATCACCAAGTCTGTAAACTACCTAACCCAGTCACGGTTCTTCATAAACAAGTCTCTAAACTACCTAACCCAGTCATGGTTCTACAAATCAAGTCTATAAACTCCTAACCCAGTCACGGTTCAACATGACCAAGTCTGTAAACTACCTAACCCAGTCACGGTTCAACCTAACCAAGTCTCTAAACAACCTAACCCAGTCACGGTTCAACATAACTAAGTCCATAAACTACCTAACCCAGTCATGGTTCAACATCACCAAGTCTCTAAATACCCAAACCAGTCACGGTTCTACATCACCAAGTCTGTAAACTACCTAAACCAGTCAAGGTTCTACATCACCAAGTCTGTAAACTACCTAACCCAGTCATGGTTCTACATAAACAAATTCTAAACTACCTAACCCAGTCATGGTTCTACAAATCAAATCTATCACCAACCCAGTCACGGTTCAACATGACCAAGTTGTAAATACCTAACCCAGTCATGGTTTTATATAACCAAATCTGTAAACTACCTAACCCAGTCACGGTTCTACATAACCAAGTTTTAAACTACCTAAACCCCGTCACGGTTCAACCAACCAAGTCTCAAACAACCTAACCCAGTCACGGTTCCATAACTAAATCCATAAACTACCTAACCCAGTCATGGTTAAAATACCAAGTCTATAAACTACCTAACCCGTCACGGTTCTACATAACCAAGTCTTTAAACTACCTAAACCAGTCACGGTTCTCATCACCAAGTTGTAAATACCTAACCCAGTCACGGTTCTACATAACCAAGTCGTAAAAATCCTAACCCAGTCACGGTTCAACCTAACCAAGTCTCAAACAACCTAACCCAGTCACGGTTCGACATAACTAAGTCCATAAACTACCTAACCCAGTCATGGTTCAACATCACCAAGTCTGTAAACTACCTAACCCAGTCACGGTTCTACATAACCAAGTCTTTAAACTACCTAACCCAGTCACGGTTCAACATCACCAAGTCTATAAACTACCTAACACAGTCACGCTTTGACTTCACCAAGTCTGTAAACTACCTAACCCAGTCACGGTTCAACATCACCAAATCTGTAAACTACCTAACCCTGTCACGGTTCGACATAACTAAGTCTATAAACTACCTAACCCAGTCACTTTTCTACATAACCAAGTCTTTAAAAACCTAACCCAGTCACGGTTCAACATAACTAAGTCTATAAAAAACCTAACCCAGTACGGTTCTACATAACCAAGTCTTTAAACTACCTAAAACCCGTCACGGTTCTACATCACCAAGTCGTAAATACCAACCGTACGGTCACATAACCAAGTCTTTAAAAAACCTTACCCAGTCACGGTTAACCAACCAAGCCAAACAACCAACCCAGTACGGTTCGACAAAAAAGTCCAAACACCTAACCCCGTCATGGTTCAAAATACCAAGTCTGTAAACTAGCAACCCAGTCACGGTTTACATAACCAGTCTTTAAACTACCTTACCCAGTCACGGTTCAACATCACCAAGCAAAAAACCTAAAACAGTCACGCTTTGACTTCACCAAGTCTGTAAACTACCTAACCCGTCAGGTTCACATAACTAAGTCTATAAACACCTAACCCCCTCACTTTTCTCATAACCAAGCTTTAAAATACCAACCCCGTACGGTTAAAAAACTAAGTTAAAAATACCAAACCCACATTCCAAAAAACCCAATCGTAAACTACCTAACCCAGTCAATTAACCAACCAAGTCTCAAAAACCCAACACACACGGTTCAAATAACAAGTTATAAACTACCCAAACCCCGTCACGGGTTAATAACCAAATCTGTAAACTACCTAAACCAGTCACGGTTCAACATGACCAAGTCTGTAAATACCAACCAAATCACGGTTCAACTTCACCAAGTTCTAAACTACGAACCCCTACAGTTTACATAACCAAGTCAAAAAACCTAACCCAGTAGGTTAACATACCAAGCGAAATACCTAACCTAGATGGTTTTCATAACCAAATCTGCACCTAAACTAGTCACGGTTCCATAAAACTCAAAAAACCAACCCCGTACGGTTTACATAACCAAGTCTGTAAACACCAACACAGTCACGCTTTACATACCAAGTCTCCAAACTACTTAACCCAGTCACGATTCTACATAACTGTGACTAGGTTATGTAGTTTAGAGACTTGTTTATGTAAACCGTGACTGGGTTAGGTGTTAAAAGGGCTTGTTTTTATTGAACCGTGACTAGGTTATGTAGTTTAAACTTTTTATGTAAGCCGTGACTGGGTTATGTAGTTTAAGGCTTGTTTATGTGACCCCTGACTGGGTTATGTAGTTTAAAACTTGTTTATGTCCTGACTGGGTTATGTAGTTTAGAGACTTGTTTATGTAGAACCGTGACTGGGTTATGTATTAAGAGACTTGTTTATGTAGAACCGTACTGGGGTTGGTAGTTAAAAGGGCTTGTTTATATTGAACCGTGACTAGGTTATGTAGTTTAGAAACTTCTTTATGTGAACCGTGACTGGGTTATGTAGTTTAAGACTTGTTTATGTAGAGTCGTGACTGGTTTATGTAGTTTGGTTGTTTATGTAAGCCGTGACTGGGTTATAGTTAAAAATTTTTATATTGAACCGTGACTAGGTTATGGATTTAGAGGCTTCTTTATGTAGAACCGTGACTGGGTTATGTAGTTTAAATTTTTATGTAAACCGTGACGGTTTATGTATTTAGAGACTTGTTTATGTAGACCTGACTGGGTTGGTATTAAGGGACTTGTTTTTTGAACCATGACTAGGTTATGTGGTTTAGAGACTTCTTTATGTAGAACCTACTAGGTTATGTATTTAGAGACTTCTTTATGTAAACCGTGACTAGGTTATGTAGTTTAAATTTTTTTTATGAGAACCGTGACTGGGTTATAAGTTGAACTTTTTTATGTAGAACCTAGGGGATATATTTAGACTTTTTTATGTAGAACCGTGACTGGGTTATATAGTTTGGAGACTTTTTATGTTGAACCGTGACTGGGTTGGTTGTTAAAAGACTTATTTATGTGGAACTGTTACTGGATTTAGGTAGTTTAGAGACTTGTTTATGTTCAACCATGACTGTGTAATGTTGAATAGTGACTGGGATATGTAGTTCAGTGGCTGGGTTACACTGTTCAGTGACTGGGATCTGTTGAACCATGACTGGATTACTAGGTTTCCTTGTGTATCGGATTTTAGTTTCCGATGATTTTTTTTATGAGTTATGTGAGTTATGGCACAGTTGAACATTTTATTAGGTTATGTTAAACCCTATACCATCATATATTGGTCGTTGAACGTTATTTTACTTCTAGGACCAAATTTCCCTTTTTATCCAGGTTCACATTTGGGCAAATTTACCAGCTTTAATGGGGGGTTTCCCTTTATAAAAACCTTTTTTTTTCTGGTAGATTAACATACTTAATCAATTTAATTAATATTCTGCAGAAAGTGACATGTAAGTATAAAATAGGTCACAGTTCACTTTGGCATGCTTGTGTATAGAACTGTAGAAGTGATACTAATAGGTCATGAAATTTATTATGTTTATATTAAATACCACAAACTTAGTGAAATCGTACTTTCGCTTGGATGTCATAATATTAGGTCTCCGATTAAAAATCGAATTAGTTGCCACACATCATCATGTTTACAAAAGTATATTGCATCGGGATCGAATATGTGTTCTATTACAAAAAACCATACCGGAAATAATATTCCCGGAATGGCAGGTTATGTTATAGACTCTACCGTTGGAATTTGGTATTTAATCGGTTCCCCCAGACTCGACACGCCTTTTAAACTTTAAAACTGGCTTTTAAACTGGTTCCCAGCGGAAATGATTATTGTCAACTCGTACATAAAATGTCAGGGTTTCAGACAGTGGAAACGTGATATCTGAAGAAGTATTTCATTAATGAACTTGAAAATGTATAGGTTCATCTTTTTATAATGCCACACATGTATTAAACGCTGAGAATGGTTAATGCAAAGGTTTTCTGTCAATCTTGCCCACAAACACACAAACACACACACATACGCACATTCGCGATGCTATATCCCCCCCCGCAACTAGTTGGGGAGGGGATAATTAGGATAGATTGTGATGCAAATTTGCAGTTGCATTTGAAATTTCATGACATTTCTTGATTTACAAGGAATATCCGTCTTATATTTTGTTATCACTATATTTTGATTAAATCACATTTTCTAATGAACAGTTTTCTCTGTCCATTTTTTTTTAGTTGTGAGGAACAAATTGCTACAAAATATATGATGGACATTTAAGCACTGTACACATGTATATGGATAAGCATGGACTTTAAGATCCGGTATGACAGACAAAATGATTTTAAAAGGCATTTCATGTTAAAACAGTGACTAAAAATAAGAAATTAACAAAAATGCTCTTTCAATTTGAGCTAAAATAAAAGTGGCGTGACCTTGACATACACGAAACGGTAGATACAAACTTTGTTTTTCCGTCATTTAATATATATACAGATCTGTCCCATAGGGGTATAAGATAATAAATCAAAGTTTGAATTGAAATATATTATAAGAAAAAAACATCTGATTACAAAAATTGCCCAATTGACATTGAGGTACCCGAAAGTCAGCAAAATTATCTGGCTTTGCCCCAGAGTTTAAATATAAGAATTATTAAGACAATCAAATGCATGAATATTTATTAATAATTTAGTTTTCAATAATCATTTCTGCAGATCAGGTCAAGACCATTCAGCATTAAGGTACTCACTGCAAAAAATATGGCAAATATATAATTTCTAACATAGATAATTTCGGATAAAGTGCTCACTAACAAGTTCATTGTTACATATTGTCCCAATTATGAAATTCACACGTATTTTTTTTCAAAGCTACAAAGAACTAATGTTCTTAACCATTTCTTTCCGTGGAACTATCATCATTTACTATGTTTGTTAAACAAGCAAATTAAAAAAACTGTGTCCCCTATGCGCATATTGAGTCAAATATAAACGCCCTATCATATGCCATTAAAAAGTTATCACTAAATTTAATTTTTTTAATTGGGCAAACATGAAATCAAACCCCCCCCCCCCCTTTCCCAAAGGGAAAAAAACATTGTTTTAATCGAGACTGACATCAAATTTTGGCAAACCTAAACTTTATTAAAATTCAAAAACTGGACTTACTTTTGATCCTCCTTTTGAAATCTCGGCCGGTGTCTCTTTCTCTAACTGTGCATTACCGGTAACCACGGCTTTGTCTTTACCGGTTTTAGTTTTCTCTTTGCCCCAACAACAAGCTTCTACGTGTACAGGCGATGAGCACCATTCCAAAGAAACTAGCAGCAGCAACACAGCGATAAACACAACTGCAGACTGAATGAATTTGGATTTATTTACAGATTGTAAGTTTTTTTTAATTTATGTAAATCATTTATTTAGAAGAAGGAGAGGGGAAAAAACATCTTAAAATTAATATCTTTTTCATATCAGAGAACAATAACGTTGCATAACTTTTTTTGCGAGTTGCTTTAATTAGCGAATATGAATCACTGCGAACTACTGATGCTGAACAGTTTCCTCGGTGCGAAAATTGATCGCGCATATCGTTTTCAAACTGAAAAGCGAATAAAAAGTGACGCAAATAATAACGATTTACAGTACTTTTACATTTAAGAAATAAGGTATCATTTTTTAGTTTTTTTGGGATGTAAAACGGGTCGGTCATGATAAAAACCCATAAAGCCCGAAGCTTTTTGGGGATCATGTGCCAACCCTAGTGAACAAATCCCATTATGGAAGATTTGATCATGTGCCAACCCGTTTTACATCCCAATAAAACAAAAAATGATACCTCATTGCTTATATTTACATTTGGGACTTATTCATACTTTAAATTATCCTGATTGTGACTTTTAACGTGTGAAATGCATTATTTTTCAAACCCAACGGTAGACCTGGCTTCAGTTTTACTAAACTTCGTATCTTAAGAAAAAAAGTCCAGTTACGAAGTTCGTAACTTTTAATTATCGTAATCTTAACTTATGAACAATTCGTAAGATACGATCTTGAAACTCTCTTTTAAAGGAAATATAAATATTCGTAGTTACGAGGTCCACCCAAACTGTCAAAAACCTAACTACTGTACCTATTTGAAAAAAATGTGTACACAAGACACAAAATAAAAGAAATTTAACTTTAAAAAACACTTTAAAGTATTTAACTTTAACAAACACTTTAAAGTAAAAAAAAAAACATGTCATTCAAAGGATTTGAATTCATTTTTTTTTCTCTAAATTTTTTTTATTTTTTTGCAAAATCATGCTATTAAAAAGCGAAAAATTATCTAATATGACATATGGTAGACCAATTTTTATAGAAAATTACAGAATTCATAATTTTAAACAGAATAACCAATTTTACAAAGTATGCATTTCAATATTATTCAAAAAAAAATGAGATTTTTGTTATTCTGGTGAAGTTATTATCCTATAAACGTTTCCTTAAATGTGAATATTCTATTGTTCTATGTTAGAGTCAACTCTCTTGCTATGGTTAAAAGAACAGTCGACGAAATGAAAAAAAAAGTGGGCCGACATGCAGAGCCTGACAAAAAAGAAAGAAGGAGAAAGGAGAAGATCTATAAAGATGACTGGTGGAGGCCCTGGCCCAAATCTAATTTTTAAATGTTGGGAAAATTTGGAAAATTTTATAAAAAAACTTATTTTTTTAAACAATATGTCATTCACTTTCGTCAGTTAGTATTGAAATCAGTATGAGTGGAATATCTAGAGTTTCAGTGCATAAAACAAATCATTTAGAAAGAATTTGTTGAAGAAATTTTCAAAAGCAAACAGTTGCATAAAATTATCTTCCTGCTATAAATTTTCTAAGGACCCCAAAGTATATTGATCCAAGGCTGTTTTTTGCACTCCTGACATAAAGGTTCATGTGAGCTTTCCTGATTAAAGAGTGTCTGTCAGTGCAAATGTTACTCAGGCGAGCATTGTGGGTCATGGACCTTTATTTCTTATAGATGTATTTATTTTCCTTATATATTTTGTAGGTTCTAAAATCGTTATCAATGCGCAATCGAGGGCATTAGCATGGAATGTAGGGAGAATGTTATATGTATATAGGCTCTTATCAATTTTTATATTGACAGTAGATAAGATAAGATTTATTAATACCAAATTTTGGGGCCCCTCAGGGCATACAAGTATTGAGAAATGCAAGAAGAAATTCAGAATTGATAGTAGCAACTAACAAAAGATTAATGATATAATTATGATTATGTAAACAGATTGAAATTACACATGTACCAGAATTACATAAATTAATTTCAAAAAGGGGAAACAGTATTCTTTTTTTAAATATATAATTTTTGTGTGGATATTAATGTCCAAGAAGCTTCTTCCATTAGTATCACCGCTGTTGTTCCATCCACTACAGATTTGCTAAGCCTGAACCCCCCAAACCCAAAAGGGCCCTTTTTTATTTTTTACTTAAAGTGTATGTAATTTATGCACCACAGTACCAGATTAAAAGTTGAACACTTTGCTTTGGCAAAACGTATTGCTTCCTTAATCACTGAATCTCACCGGAATATAAGTGGTTAAATTCATGTCTGTTTTCCACCTCATTTTTTTTTTTATCTTTTGAATCATTAATGTACATTACTCATCTCTTATTTTAAAGATAACACCATGCCTCAGTCACTATCCAGTACAAGTAGCAGAAATGGTGGTAAGGCTATACACATAAATGCGTTAAATAATTATACAGTGATAGAAGTATTTATTTTTACAAAATTTATTTTTTATTCGATAAAATAAGAGAAATGTTATTTATATTTCATAGAAAAAGTTCCTTTACGACTTTCACTATTTTTAAACTTTTAATCATTATAATTATTATTTCTAGTCAAAGACACATCAACCCTTAGTCATAGTGCTGTGATTCCGCTCACAGAGGCTGATAAACCTGGAACCTCCAAAGAAGGTAACCCTCCCCTAATTTTTTTTTTAAATCAACTTATTGTATATTATTAAATATGCAGGTTAGTCAAAGGTTTGCAACTTTACAGGGGTTTTTATTTACCCCCGGTTTTATTCCTTACACGCATAATTTTTTTGGTTCAAGCAAATCGTATTTATCACTATATTGAATAAACTACCGATTATTGCAGGCATACAACACTGAACAGTCATTTTACTATAAACTCTACTGAAAAGCATTAATCAAGTTAATTTATTTTACAGGTGACAATGCAAATACCAGCAGACCAGTCAGTAAACCGACTTAGTTTTTTTTTTTTTTTTTTTCCTTTTCCTAGACGCCAACTTTGAGACCTCGTAACTCGCTCATTTCTGAACGGATTTCGCTAAATTTTCAGAGTTTTTGGACGTTACAAATCTCAATTAAAATGTTATCATACATATCAAAAATTCCCTTCCGCTTTCGAGTTATTTCCCTTTAAATGAAAATTTGATACTGTTCGTTTCCAGACAAAGGCTCAGAAACGACAAAAGCTGGAGAAGAAGTACTACTGCATTTAAATACTAGAAGAATTGAAGTTGTGCACATCGGTTTTTCTCTTTCGATTTCGCGCTCCAAACGGTGCTAGATAGGGGTCAAAAATGAGAATGCCTAAAACCCCAAATTTTACATATATTTCCTTGTGTATCTTTTAAACTAAAAATAATTTGTTAAACATTTTTCACAAATATTGTGCATAATTTTAAGGTCTATATTTGACATCATTAAAAAGGGGCTGGCCCCTCAAATTGGGGGTAAGGGAGCATGAAAGTTTTTGCATTATAACTCAAAAACGGTAAATATTTCGATATGGTTATCGATTTGAAATGGGTCTTTAACATCTTATTGATCTCATGAAAACGTTATTTTGTTCGAATCTTGTGTTATTGAATGAGCAGCAAACTTTATGTACAGGTAACTGATTAATTTTATACGGCAAGTGAAGAATTCTTTATGCGTACGCGTATAACACATACAACTGAAATAAACTGGATAAGAATAATATACTTCACTAAACTGAATGTTAAACTTTGTTGAAATAAAGTTTTTAACGTATTCTCTAGCTGGATGTCATACAGATTATTCAGAACAACTTTCTCCTTGTATTTAGTTTGAATTACAAGAGGGGGGATGGGAAAAAATACTTATCATCTCTCATTCGATTGATACTCAATGTTGCATTATTTATAAAAAAAAAATCAAGCTTAAATTAATTCACTGTCATTTTATTCATGCATCGTGAATTTTCGTCGGACCTTGACTGCTTTGTTTACAGTTGTGCAACCGTTTTTTGATCGCGCATGCATTGACCTATATACTTTCCCGGGAGGTAAACTTTACCGCTCTTTGATTTTTACGCGAGTCCCAGAGTTATCTAAAACGATGCTAGTCATCGATTTACTCAGCTTAAAATCAAGAATTTGTTATTTGCGTAAATCGTAAGAATATTTCTAGACACAAATATAAAGGTTTTCTTGAACATGTACGAGTATTAAGAGATAAAATGTCTGATTCTATTCTTTGACGAATGAATAAAAGGCGCTGCGATTTTTCTCAGGTACAGATGATTTCTCTGGACAGTCCATCGGTTACACTGAAAGGTGACGCAGGATGACCTATCGATAACTCTACCAATTTTGATAGTGATTGTAATTGCACATGTACATAAATTAATGTTGAATTCTACCCTTGTGAAGTCCATTATAGTTTCGTTATTTAAAAATGGGGATATCACTACTGCAACTTAATTGTTTTTAATTTGAACGGATGATTCTATATTTTAAAAAGGTACACATTTTTTAGGCGCCGTCGTCCCCCTCTGAACTTTGAAGTAATTGCAATCGTTATATGTATACGGGCCTATATCGAGTTATTCTAATTGTTGCTTATTTATTTCAGAAAAAATTGCGATGTTGTTTAAATTAGCAATTACAAATAAACATGACAAATGCACATAGTAAATTGTAAGTGGAAGTGACGTTTTCAATTCTCATGAAAATCGAAAATAAAATTAAGTAACTTTGAGTTTTGCATAATTTGCTACATAACTTATCATTGTATTTTTCCGAATGATATGCTCATAAATTTTTTTTTTTTTCCCCAAATAAAAAACTAGAATATCACAATAACACGATTTTTTGTGCATGTACATGATATTAATAAACTACATGCTGTTTTACACAGAAGAGCACCCAACATGAGATTTAAGAATACGAGAAAAAAAAAAAAATTTGAAAATTTTCTAACAAATGCAAAATTTCTTCCTGTAATTTCATACAAATATTCCAAGCCTTTCTTTCGTGTTTATTGGACTAAAAGAGAAAAAATTATTAAATTTCCTCTCATTGCGATACGTAACCCCCTGAAATGATACAATGCTTTCCTTCAGAGTCGAGAATGGCAGGTCAGGGCTGGTGTTGAGATTACTCCATAACCTATTATAATATTAACCAACAATCATACGCGATATTGTTTTTAATTCGCAGGTTGTCAAATAAATTTAAGAAAAGGTCGGAGAGATGATATGTATAAAATTTTTTATTCATAAACTTTTTAATTTCTAGAGTGTACAATCAGATTTAAGTGTGTACATGTACTACATGTACTAGATTTTTTTTTGGGGGGGGGGGGGTTACCGTTTTGATGCATTTGATTTCCTGAATTTTACTTCTTTTCCCACAATTAAACAAAGTTAATAGAATATAATTGGTAACAGTAACACAAGTGATTTATAAAACGAAATCAAGCAATAAAACGTTAAAGGATCATTTTCCCATAAGGCCGTTTTGCGGCCTACAATGACTTCAAATTTTCAAATAGTATTTTTTCCCTAAAAAATTGCATGAATCACTAGGCTTATGTTCCAATTTAATGATAAATATTGGTTGGTTAATTATACAATAGTATTTTTGATGATATAGGGTCACAAAGTAAGGATATGGCCCGTATTAGCATTAAAAAGGGGAAAACTCAAGAGGTTGGCTGTGTTAGATAACTCCTAGATGTCATAACCACCTTTAACCAACACCAAAATTTGCATGTAAATTTCTTATAAACATAAAAAGAGACTACCAAATTATAAATTTTGGGTTTAAAAGGTGGTTATGATATCTAAATAAAAACCTTTCACTTCATTTTTACAAATTTGCAGAAAAAGATAACTACTCACAATGAAGGATATCAGCTTATGTAGATTATTTTTTTTATAAACTTTTGGTTATATTACAATTTCCGTTGATTTACTAAGGTTTATAACAGCCATGCATATTTACAAAAAAAAAGTGAACGTTTTACTTGAAAATCTAAAAATCAAAGGACTGAGAAGACGGATGTCAAAAAATTACAAGTGGAGACGTTTCTTTGAAATGTCTAAAAAAAATAAAGAATTAAGAACTTTTTATCGAATAAAAGGGTGTAAATAGGTTATTTTTATATTTATAATGATAGTTAAGTATATCTATATATGCTACTTCTTTGAACTTCTTTAGGTTCTGCAAATATTCTTTTATTTCCTTATGGTACTTTTATGTTTTAAAATGATGAAAGCAATCTTTGTTGAAGTGGTAACATACATTTATTATTTGTATCATTGATTTTTTTTATGGGTACACACAAAATTTTTATTTATTTATTCACTTCCGTAAGAGTATCATTTGATATATTTTGATAACTGGGTCTTAATTTTAAAGAGGACTCATCGACAAATTACGATAACATTAGTCCTGTCTTAAAAATAAACTGGTAAAGTGGAGGGGGATTACTAAAGTATTATGTGATTTATAAATGAATATTGCTTTACCCCATTTACCCCATTTAAGAATTTTTAAACCCAAATAAAGAAATACCCATTTAAAGGTCAAGTGTTTATGCATAGTTGCATTAATAACCAACGTCCAACGCAGGGGGGGCCCCCTTTTTTAAAAAAAAAAGATAAAGACCGATGACATTTACTTTAAATGCTAAAGACTTAGGTAGGGAACTGTCACAAGTCTTTGACGCTGCACGGGGAAAAAGAGACTGAATTTTACCTACAGGTTTCAAGAATGGGAAAGGAGCATCAAACCCTAAGGGGATTTTGTACATGGGATGTTGTAGAACTCTTAAGTCCGTATACCAGATACACGAAAACTTCAGAATCTGATATGCATAGTTGAAGGCTTTAAAATTCTGCTCCATTTTTATGTTGTGCCGTTAGACCTAAGAGGGGGGGGGTCTCAACTTTTTTACATGTAAATACATGAAGTTTAGAAGGCATTTTTAATTGAAATATAGTGAGCACAGTAATTGAATAAAAGCAAAGCCATTTTATGACGCTATTTCATTTTACTTAGAGATGTATATTTTAATAACCGCTCTGAGTTATATGTATTGAATATTTACATGCATATGGATAGTCAAAATGTACTTGCATTGATATTCTTATGCTGTTAATTCTTTACTTTTTTCCAATTATTGAATTTCTTTTCTTAATTACTACTTCAGTTTTATTTAATCTCAATCAAAATCCATTCAGTGCTTTCAACATTTGATACATAACTTTTAGAGTTCAATAGAAACTTAGAAACCTCATTTCTAACATGGTTATTTTATGCGTAAAATACGTACCACATCTATAGAAATGATATACAATTACAATATAATTATATGTGAATAATACTTTTCAATAAATTGCAAATCAAACTTTTTTCAGCACCGTACAGTGTGAATTTGGTAAAGATTTACGTTCAAAATATGCAAAATGTGGATGCATTAGAATTTTTGTTAAAAAATATTTAAAACCCTTTAAAATTTTAAAAAATTTTTCGAATATATTATACTTAGGTCTGATGTATTTCCGACATAAATAAACAATTTTTGAGCATTTACATTCAAAAACATGCATAGAAATTTGATTTAAATAGTCCCACCCTCAATTTTTCTTTAACTGACAGCCATTTTTTATCTCTAAATCACGTGACTTAGATGATCGATGTTGAAAAAAAAACATCAAAATCATGAACTAGTATTATAGTTAATAAAAACACATTTTAAAGTGATTTTATCGTAGGCCGGAAAACGGCCTTATAGAGAATGAACCTTTGTATTTTGAAAAATAAATCAAGTCAAGTCACATAAAACAAAGACAGGTTGAAACGCTCACACATGAACATACATAAAACGTTTTGGTAACTCAGAATAGTCCAGAGTAAAACTATATTTTCTTGATGACGGAATGTCCCGTACATCTAATGTTCACGTCCGGGATAGTTCACGGCAGTTTCATCCCCATACGCAATTATCATACAAGTCGAACGCTCTTTGAGGTTGAGGATTGCACTAATTCCTTAGATAAATACTGAGTATCAAATTCCTTTTTACTGTCTTAACTTAACTTGATAGGTAAATAATTTTAGCATTTGTTAAAAATAAGCATTAGAAATAATTCTTTTCATAAAATTCAATTCTGTTACATTTCAAATGAATTTGTAAAATTGACTTTATGACAATTGTCATGCTGCAGATCTGTAGCTCGCTAGCTGTTCTAAAAAAAATTGAGATGGATCACCAGAGAGCTACAGTGCCATCCATATTATCTCAAGTTCAGGCTCAGAAGGACTATTAAAAACGGTTGTAAGGAATGTTTAACTGTAGAAAAGTTTAAGGAATGTGTTAGATACACACGGTAAATAATATTTTTAGATTCAAGCATTGAAAAACAGGGTTTTAAATATAGCTTCAGTGCAATTTTTTTCTAATATTTTCTAGTTTTTTATTCTTCGTTTTTCCTTTTATGTTCAAATAACGTGTATTTTTTTTTATTTACCTTTCAAAAACTTATCTTTGGCCATAACTTTTGAACAGGTGGTGCTAGTCGTATTTCTTGTGAGAGGACACTACTTTGGATACTAATATATTTAATTTGCATTTAAAAGAAATTTAATCTTCGGTATGTTGCCATATGGGGTCATCAGTGTTTCACAAACACGTATTGTTCCTTATTTTGAGAAGAGATAGGGCTTTCATATTTGACATGTGCAGTACCTGTGACAAGATATTTCCGAGCATTTTATGATTTCTGACCCCTTGACCTTGACCATTGACCTTACTTAAGAAAATGCAACTTCCTTGATAATTTCTTTATGACATATGATAGGGCGTTCATATTTGACACAATGTGTCATAAAAAATACATCTCGACCACAAAGGGTTAAAGTTGTTGGTTTCTTAAGAAAAGTCTTGTCACAAGTATTACATATGTGAAGTATGAAAGCCCTAGCCCTAACCGTTCAAAAGTTATGGCCAAGGTTAAAGTTTTTAAAAAGTAAGTCAAAGGTCAGGGTCAAAGTTCTGGATATCCAATAAAAGCTCTTGTCTGAAGAATTTAAAATGTGAAGTCTGAAAGCCTTAGCCCTAACCCTTCAAAAGTTATGGTCAAGGTTTTTTTTAAAGTAGGTCAAACTCAAAGGTCAAGGTCAAAAGGTCAAAGTTCTTCGTATCCAATGAAAGGTCTTCTCAAAAGGATTACATATTTGGAGTATAAATGCCCTAGCCCTTACCGTTCAAAAGTTATGGCCAAGGTCCAAGTTTTCTCATAAGTACGGAAATCTCCAAGGTCAAGGTCAATAGGTCAAAGTTGTTGGTATCCAATGAAAGGTCTTGCCACAAAGAATACATATCTGAGATATGAAAGTCCTAGGATCTACCGTTCAAAAGTTATGGCCAAAGTAAAAGTTTGGAATTTTTTGTGTAAAAGTGGGTCAATATCCAAGGTCAAAAGGTTAGATTTAGTGGTACCCAAAGAAAGGTCTTGTGTCACAAGTAATACACATGTGAAATAAGAAAATAATACCTCCACTATATCAAAAGTTTTAAGTTTTTGTGACGGACGGATGGACAAACGAATGAGATTTAATGTCCCCTCGCTTTCGCGAAAGCGGGGGACAACAAAACTTACAGTCAATACTTTTTTCAGAATGAGAGAATCAATGTATATTGCAATGTATATTGCAATTTGTTTGTATTGGCTTAAATAATAATGTTGGTGTCATTAAACAAATTAAAACCTAAATTTTGATATAAAAGGTACCACATGAATAGCAACATGAATTTTTGATGATCCTTCGTGTCTAGGAAAGAGTTATTGACCTTTATCTGACCTTAATACGTAAATAAGAGGCTTGAAACGCCATCAGAAAGTGATATTGTCCTTTGTGAACAGACCTTTATTAAAATAAATATCACGAACATACCTTGAAACACGTAGTACAAAATGATAGTTATTAAACATTATATTACTTATTACTTTTGTTAGTGAATGCCTCAAAGAGATATTCCTCTAGTCACATTGTTATTTTCTATCGCGAAATTTTTTCTCTCTCCAAATTTACAGGGTTATTTCTCTTTGTTTTCCCAAATAACATATTTTATGAAAATCCTTATAAATATATACATAAATACGAAAAATTATTCAAATATATATGTAAACTTTGGAAAATTGACTTGGAAGTTGGTGGGAAAACAATACCATCTTCGCCGTTCTACAAGAACTACACTAGAAACTCTAGTATTTTTGAATATGATTTTTTTAGACGAATAAAACTTGCAATCAGTTTTGAAATTCATGCATATTAAAATAAACATTTTTCCAATAGTTCATGGCTTTGAAGTAACAACAAATGACTCTTCAACAAACATAAATTTAAGAAAAAACACGGAAAAATTGTACAGGGTTTAGCACAGTAGAGCACATTTTATTGTTTCAGAGAGTAGTATAATTGGCGTTTTCTCTATTTCTGGAGCTCCAGATCAAACATGTAGAGAGCCAGTCCAGCGCTGTGCGATTTCTTCATCAGATTCAGGTGAGCTATAAGGTCCCCGAGACGTTTGATGATTCGTACCTGGCTGTCTACGAGGTTCTCATCTAAGAACAACTTCATCTGGATTCAAATAAAAAATATGACTGTCATTATATCCTTTACGTAATTTAGATACTTTATCCTTTTACATTATATTAATTAATGCTCTTCTCATTTTGAATTTTACTTTCAAAAGTAAAGGTCAGAGAATACTGTTGGAGTCCTGTAAAATTTACTCCTGATCACATGATATCATGTATTTATACTGTCTTTCAGCTAGAAATTCAAACTATGCTATATAATTCAATTAAAAAATGCATGTATACATATCTTTGTTTTATTTTATTAATCTTTAATCCATTTGATAGTTAAGGAAGAATGTTTTAAAATTTGCTTTTTTTTAACACGACTTAAAAACCCAGTTATGTTATGCCTTTTACCATGGATGTTTTACAATAGTACGTACATTTGGATCTTTGTACTTGACGGCTATGCTGTGCTGCAGTAGGATCTTAACGTTCAGCTGGCGGGAAAGTTTAAGTGCTAGATCGAGGGCAGCCTTTCCATTGCTGAAGTCGATCATCACTGGAGCCTAATTAAATAAACATATACCAGCTATAATTATACTAAATGTAAGAATATTTACCGAAAAATTCAGGAAGATGTTTAAAGAAAATCTTAAATTGCCACTTAAGAAAATTTAGGAAACTGCGATTGCATAAAAATAATGAGCATAGAATCCTCTGTCAAAGTTTGTTAGTCATGGTTCAAGCTACGTGCTGGAGATATACATGAAATAATCCTTTTTTAATTATCTGCAGAAATGCTGAGGTCAGAGAACAGTGTCCAGTTGCCTAAGTTCTCTGGAAAGAGTGGAAATGTAAGCGCGACACAATGGTGGATGCTATTTATACAGTGGTGCTCACTCCATTCCCTCTCTGAACAACAGATTCTAGGAAGAATTGTCTTCTACTTGACCGACATGGCTCAACAATGGTATCTGTCCTTACCCCAGTCTTCCAGAAACACCCTACAACAATTGAAAGCATCGTTCTTGCTTAGATTCGGTAAGCAGAACTCGTTCAACCTTGATGTACTCAACGTAAAACAAAAGATTGATGAATCGTGTGAGGAGTACATTACGCGAATTCAACAAATGGCATGTGATGATAACATTCCTAACCTGATGCTAATAAATTTGATAGCTAATGGATTTAAGGCCGAAATTGCTGAGAAGGTACTAGATAAAGATCCCCAAAACTTTGAAGACCTGTTTAAATATGCCAAACGCGCAGAGTCCACCATAAAACTAAGAAAGAATGACTCAGTCATAGCTTCCATTGAGGGCATGGAGGATAGACTAATGGACCGCCTATCAAAACAATTGGAATCCACCGTCATGGCCTTTAGTGGACCACAAAACCAGGCCAGATATAATGGAAACTCCCGAGGTAGAGGTCAACCCCAACGATATCCGAACCAATATAATAGTGACTTTCGCAGGAATGAGCAAACTAGAGACAATTACCGTGGTAATAAACAATTCCCAAACTCTGGTTCACAGTACCGCGAAGGACGTCGTCCAATGGGTGGTAACCATGGCAACCGTTTTCCACATCCTGCCCAACAGCCAAGTGACTTCACCAGACAGCATGGTAACCGTCCTGCTCAGTACCAACGTCCAGCTGGACCCAGTAAGTGCTCTAGTTGTTTTAAGAACACTTGTGATAGAATGAATTGCATTGCTATTGGCAAACAATGTTATTATTGTTATGGGTACAATCATTTTCAAATTGCATGTTTTTCAAATCCTCAGAGTCCATTTTTCAAACATTTAACAGATTTTGAATCAGTACAATAGGGATTCAGGCCTATCCATCATATGGGTAGGCGCCTCGAAAATTTTCAGAATCAGAGTGCTAAATCAGCAGAATTAAATCTAGCTACTAACATGGTAAAGAACACTGTTGATGTTTCTATCAATAAGAAGAGAACAAATGCTTTGGTAGACACAGGTGCCCTGAATTATGTTTTTTTTAACAAAACTTCTTATGCCAATACTGTGTTAATGAAACCAGATTTTCATTTTGTAAATGGTGTGGAGGTCGATTAAAAGTTTTAGGTAAGCTTGACCTCCCAATATCTTTTCAAGGTGCTACTTTCAATTTTTCTGTGCATGTTGTTGACAAATTGCCACATTCTTTGATTATTGGTCTAGATTTCATGAAAAACATAAGGTGACCATAAACTTAGCAAACAACACTATGTCTTTCCAAACATGTGTAATGTTTTTATGTTAAAGTCAAATAGTGGTGTAGCAAGAATAGCAAAATAAACAATTTTACCCCCTCATGCTGAAACAATTTTATGTGTCAAAGTTTCAAACAGAAATTCAGGGGATACAGTTTTGTTAGAGCCATTAGATACAGATTTACAACTACATGTATTGGGTTCCAAGTGCTTAGTCAAGGTCAACTGGTCAGTCATGTCTTAAAGTGCTTAACCAACCCAAACCCAGAAAATTCGTTTGTGTAAGGGTAAAATAGTTGCAACTGTTTCAAATTTTGATCATGATGCATGCTTGTGTACAATCTTGATTCACCATCTTCAAACGACACAGCCTCAATTAACATGGTAAAACCCACAAAATGATGCACACGCAACAACAAACAAAACAACAGCCAATACACAAACAACAGCCAATACACATGACATCACTTTTGATCTTACCAACTCAGATCTCACTGCTCAACAAAAAAAAATTACAACAATTTTTTGTCAGCATAGAGACATTTTTCTAAAGGGGATCACGAGTTAGGTAAATGCAACACATACATGCATAAAATTGAAACTCATCCTAATGCAAAACCCATCAAAATGCCTTTCTATCGAACAACTCCTGCTAACCATGCTGAAATTAATAGGCAAATTGAAGATTGGCTGAAAAATGATATTATACAAGAATCCAATAGTGACTGGCATTCTCCTTGTTTATTAGTTAAGAAAGCTTCTGGTGAATTTAGGCTTGTGACAGACTTTAGGAAACTTAACAAGATCACAAAACCTATGTCTTTTCCTTTGCCTCGACTTGAATGTGTATTCGATACTCTTGGTCAAAGTAAGGCGCAGTATTTTACAAGTCTTGATCTTCACAGTGCTTTTCTTCAGATTGAAATGCATCCTGATTCTAGGCATAAATCGCATTCAAACTCAAAGGGGGTTTACGAATACAAACGCATGCCATATGGGTTAATGAATGCCCCAGTTTCTTTTCAAATGGTTATGACACAAGTTCTTAGGGGACTACTTGGGAATGTTTAATATATCTTACACATTTTGGTTTTTCTAAACATTCAATGACCATTTGACTCATCTAAAAAGGTTTCTCTCGGTTACGTCAAGCTAATCTCAAGTTAAAACCAAGCAAATGTGACTTCGCTGCCAAGGAAATAAAATATCTTGGTCATATTATTTCCAAACATGGTATTAAAACAAATCCAGAAAAGACGAAGGCAGTGAGTACTTTCCCTGTTCCAAAAACTAAAAAAAGTTCGCTCCTTCCTTGGCATGTGTAATTACTACAGAAAATTTGTCAAAGATTATGCAAGACTTTTTTTCCTTTAAACAACCTCC